TGAAGATCTACATACTGAGTTTCAGGCCAGTCAGGGTGATATAGTGAGATTCTGTCTCAAAATGCAAACAAAGAAAACAGTCAAAACCCCTAAAATATGGCAAAAGAAGTTTTGCAGTGCTGAAGGTGGAAGTCAGGGCCTCATGGTGCATGCAAGTCAAGTGCTCCACCTCTGAGAGACACAGGGCAAGTCTGGAGGAGGAATTACTTTGGAAACAGGGTCTCCCTGTAGCCACAGCTGGCCTGGAACTGGCTATGTAGATCATGGCCTCAATCTCACAGAGATCCACCTGCCTCTGCCTCCTGCGTGCTGGGATTAAAAGTGTGTACCACCACACCTGGCTTATTCATTTTTTGAGATAGACTCTCACTAGGTAGCCTAGACTGACTTGGAACTTGCTTTGTAGTTCAAGCTGGCCTTCCTACCTCTGCCTGCCTGCCAAGTGTTGGGATTACAGGCATGTACCACCACACTACTCAGTCTCCTGGACACTTAAAAATTTTTTTTATTTTTTTATTTTTGCCGGTCGTGGTGGTGCACGCCTTTAATCCCAGAACTCAGGAGGCAGAGGCAGGCGGATCTCTGTGAGTTCGAGGCCAGCCTGGGCTATATAGTGAGTTCCAGGACAGCTGGGGCTACAGGAAGACCCTGCTTCAAAAAGAAAAGGAAAAAAAAAGAGTGCCCGTGTGTGCGCATGCGCATGCCACAGCACTTATACGGAGGTCAGAAGACAACTATGGCAGTTGATTCTCTCCTTCTACTATGGGGGGTTCTGGGGATTGAACTCAGTTTCTCAGGCTTGGCAGCAAGTGCCTTTACCCACTGAGCCATCTTGCGAGCCCTCTGGATACTTTAAATCATTTCTATATTACTTAGCATAATTAATATAATGAAAATGTTACTTATTATCCAGTACTATTTAAAGATTAATGACAAGAAAAAGTCTGTACAGCTTTAGTGAAGACAATTTGTCTTCAGTTTTTTTTTTTTTTTGGTCTTTTTGAGACAGGGTCTCCCTGTAGCCCCAGCTGTCCTGGAACTCACTATGTAGACCAGGCTGGCCTTGAACTCACAGAGATCCGCCTGCCTCTGTCTCCCAAGTTGTCTTCAGTTTTTAGTCTTTGGTTAAATCCATGGAACTGGGACCTACAGATATAGAAGGTTGACTATATTTAGAATGTTAGTCAGTCACCCTCAGTGGGCAGGGACACCCTTTGTGAAGAATCTGTTTCTTGTTTGTGTGTTTATATGTTTACAGCCAATAGGAACAGGTTCAGCTGGGTGCATGTCTTTAAGCACTGGGAGGCAGAGGCAGAGGCAGGTAGATCTCTGAATTCCAGGCCAGCTAGGGCAACATAGTGAGACTCTATTTCAAAAAATAAAAGGGAACAGATTCACTTTAATCCTTTTTCTCTAACCTTTGGAGCCTTTTTATCTTAGAAGACTTTTTTTTTTTTTTTTTGGTCTTTTTGAGACAGGGTCTCCCTATAGCCCCAGCTGGCCTGGAACTCACTATATAGACCAGGCTGGCCTTGAACTCACAGAGATCTGCCTGCCTCTGCCTCTCAAGTGCTGGGATTAAAGGCATACGCCACCACACCTGGCCTTAGAAGACTTTTTATGAGTGTATTGCCTGCATGTATGTGAGTGCACCCGTGTTGTGCAGTGCCTCAGAAGTCAGAAGAAGGCTTCAGATTCCCCTGGAACTGGAGTTAAGGATGGTTCGTAGCCACCATGTGGGTGCTGGGTATCGAACCCAGGTCCTCTGCAAGAGCAGTCAGTGTTCTTAACCACTGAGCAATCTCTCCAGCCCCCTAGAAGGCTTCTTGAACTCAAAGGTTTAAGAAGATATGTGAGTCAGGTGAGGTGACAGACTGTAACCCTAGCACTTGGGAAACTGGGGCAGGTAGGAGGATTGTAGGTTTGAGACTTGGACTATGCTGGGCAGATTGGAAGAGTAAGAGAATTTGAAAACAAGCTAACAATGCCAGTAATACAAGTAATTAAGTATATACTGTGAGTGAGTTGGAAAGATGGTTCTGTGGTTAAGAGTACTTACTGCTCTTCCAGAAGACCTGGGTTTGTTTCCCAGCACCCATATGGCAGCTAACATCCACCCTTAACTCTAGCTCCAGGGGATCCAACGCCTCCTAGCCTCCAAGGGCACCAGGCACACATATAAAAATATTTTTATTTTATGTGTATGAGTGTATTGCTCACATTCATGTGAGTGCACCCATGTTGTGCAATGCCTGCGGAGCTCAGAAGAGGGTGTCGGATCTCCTGGAACTGGAGCTACTGATGGCTGGTAGCTGCCTTGTGGGTGCTGGGATTCAAACCTAGGTCCTCTTCAAGAACAGTCAGTGCCCTCAACTGCTGAGCCATCTCTCCAGCCCCAAATAGTTTTTAAAAATTAAAAAGTATGTATTATGAGCTAGAAAGAAAAAAAAAAGTATAGAAGCGATAGGGAGTGCAGGTGCTGAAATTTTGAAGTGGGGTGATAAGGAGGGCCCCACCAAGGATGTGACACTTAAGAGTCAAAGGAGATGAGAGAGCCAGCCATTGAGACGTCTGGGGAAGGACTTCTTGGGGAAAGGATGCAGCCACACAGAAGCCCTGAAACAGGCATAGGCAGGAAGCAAAGGGGTCAGGGCCTGACCAGGACTGAGCCTGGAAGGGAGATGGGCTGGGGTTAGAAAGTCTTTGGTAAACTGGGTATGGTGGCACAAGCCTTTAATCCCAGAGGCAGGCAGATCTCTGTGAGTTTAAGGCCAGCCTGGTCTACATAGTTCTAGGCCAGCTGGGGTTACATGGAGACCCTGTTTCAAAAAGAACAACAAAAAAAGTCTTTGGTAAACTGGGTGTGGTTGCACATGCCTTTAATCCCAGCACTAGGGAGGCAGAGGCAGGCAGATTGTGAGTTCAAGGCCAGCCTGGTCTACATAGTGACTTCCAGTTTCAAAGAGACCAAAAAAAAAAAAAAAAAAAAAAAGTCTTTGGTTAAATCCATCGAAGTGAGACCTACAGATATAGAGGGTTGACTGTACTTAGAATGTTTATATGTCTGTCACCCTCACTGGACTGTCAGATGCTGGCTTTGGATGAAGCTAGAAGGCAGATGAGGCAGAGGGTTGATGTGGTCAGATTCACCTGCGCATGCTGGTGTCTTTGTGAGGAGTAGGGTAAGAAAGGGCAGGTGGGGAGGGTACCTGGAGAGCCAGTACAGTGGTCTAGGGAAAAGGTGAAGAAAGCTCTGGTGGGCAGTAGCTGCAGAGGTGATGGAAATGGCTTCAGGACATACATGTGTAGAAGACAGAACCATCACATTTGCCCACAGGTTGGATGTGGGATGGAGAAGAAAGGAAAGAATCAAGGACAACTCCAAGATCCCGAGGGCAAGGATTTTGAAAAAGTGGAGCTGTCACTTACTGAGACGGGGGTGGCTGCAGGACATGGCGGAGGAAGCTATGAGGTTGATTTTGGTCATATTGTAGCTGGAGGGTCTATCGCACATCTGGTAAAGAAGGTGGTGGATACAGAATCATAAATTTGAGGAAAGCAGCAGGGCTGGTGGTCCTCAAAATCATGAGAGTGGCTGGGATTATGTAGGCAGGTGTAGCTGGGCAAGAAAAAAGCACATAGGGGACCTATCCTGCACCCGAGGCTGAGCAGAGGAGGCTGCAGTCACTAAGACCCAGGAGGACCCAGAGGGTAGCCTGGCAGGAAGGCTGTCAGCTGCTCTTCTGTTGGCTTGCTTGCTTTTGTGGCGCGTGACCATGTTATATAGTTCAGCCTGGCTTCAAACTCATGATCCTTCTGCCTTAGCCTCCCAAATACTGCCATGGTACACATGTGGAGTTCAGAGGACAACATCAGAAGTGGATTCTTTCTTACCATGTGGGTCCTGGAGCTCAAACTCAGGTAATCAGTCTTGGCAGCAGCACCATTACCTATAGAGCCATCTTGCTGGCCTATGATTTTCTTCCTTCAGTTTTCTAGATTTTGTTAACTTTCAACTCTGAACATACATACATACACACACACACACACACACACACACACACACACACACATATATTTGGTCTTTTCGAGACAGGGTCTCCCTGTAGCTCCAGCTGGCCTGGAACTCACTAGGTAGACCAGGCTGGCCTTGAACTCACAGAGTGCTGGGACTAAAGGTGTGTGCACCACACCCAGCTTGAACATATAGTTTTTAAATTTTTTCAAAAGGGGGTTTGGAGAGATGGCTCAGCAGGTAAGAGCACTGACTGCTCTTCTGGAGGACCCAGGTTCAGTTCTCAGCACCCACATGGCAGCTAACAACCATCCAGTTCCAGGGAATCTAATGCCTCTTCTGGGCCCCATGGGCATTGCATGCATGGGTGCACTTACATATATGGAGACAAAACACACAGAATAAAAATAAATTTTTAAAAATTCTTCAAGATATTTTTTTCCTACACCAGGGACTGAATCTAGCTCCTCAAGTGTGCTAGGCCAGAGCTATGCCACAGAGCTATATTCCCAGCCCTCTTTTTACTTTTTATTTTGAGACAGGGTCTCATTAAGTTGCCTGGGCTAACCTTGAATTCATTCTGTAACTCAGGCAGACCTTGAACTTCAGATCCTCCTATTTCCAAGTAGCTGGGATTATAGGCCTCTACTACCAGGACCATGTTAGACACAAATATTTGAAAATAAAATTCGGAAGTTAGAGTTTGCTGCTTAAAGTACCAGTCTCTGCCTACCTCCAACATACACACAAGAGGGAATTGAGGACCTCTCCCACAATGGGTGCTACAGGAGGGAAGGGAAGGAAAGCCACACCACATTGAACCTATCTCAAGGTTCAGCCTGTCTCAGGTCCTATCTCAAGGGCAGCTGAGCTGCCACCATGACCTGCTAGAACCAGGGCACCAGAATGCCACGTGCATCCCCAGCAATGTGGCCCCATACCCTGACATAGACTGACAGGTGGACTGACATAGACTGACAGGTGGACTGAACACCGTCTTCATTAAAAAAGTTTATTGTCTGTGCCACCCAATGCAGGTGAAGATTGGCTCCCTTCCCAGGTGCCCCAGCCTTCCCACCTGAGTCCCTGGTGAGCCGCTCTGTAACGGGCCCCCATCTTGGGGCAATGTCCTTGTTCATCTGATCCAGTCCCATTGTTCCTGGTCCAGGGCTAAGCTCCACCTCGAGATGCCATAGGTATGGTCTCCCCTGAGTGACTGTTGCCTCCAGCATCTGAGAAACCCCTGCCTCCAGAGGCTGGGGCCACGTCCACTTGGATGACACCATGTACCTGGGAGAGCTGTGGGCTGTCCAAGCTGGCAATGAGCTGGCGGGGGCCTGGTCGCACAGGCACAAATGTCTGGCGCAGTGTGACTGTCTCATTACCCCCGATGTCCCTGTGGGCAGAGATAGCATCATGAGCCTTGAGTAACTGAGGGTGGAGTCTGGAGCCAGGATTAATCCAGAGTAGCCAGGAAGGAAAAAGCAAGAGGTGGAGCCATTCAGGCATTTCTGGGTTCAGCTGGAATGTTCCCCCACCCCAGGACAAAGCCTCCGCCCTAGGGCCACCTCCACACAGCCACACACCCTGCACTAAGAACTCTCAGCATCTGGCTTCTCCCCCTTGCACCTGGGCAGAGGCTGCCGATGCCACGCCAGGGGCAGTTCAGCTTCACCTGCCCAGACCACCCCATCTCACCAGGGTTTTCAAGCAAGGCTTTGAGGCCCAGCAGAGATTGCCAAATGCTTTTGGTTTTGCCAAACAGTAAACTAAAGAAAAATTCCTGCCACAGAAGAAAGAGCATCTTAATACTGCCAAGCAATAGAAGGGTGTTTGTTATTCAAGGAAAAAGGCAAAGTCCTTCCAAGAACAGACAATAGGCATCTTTAAATGCCTATGTGTTTGTGATGTGTGTGTGTGTGTGTGCGTGTGTGTGTGTGTATGTGTGTGTGTGTGTATCTGAGCTTCCTCAGGGAGCTCTGACAATTATTCCCACAGCACCTCTGGGCCTCAGGATCTCACCAGTCTTACCAGCCTCTGTCTCATCTCACTTTCCTTAGTCTGCTAATCACTGAGGTGGACTAACTCCTTTAAGGATTTGGCTTCCTTGGTGCTTATGGGAAGAGATGCCAGCTCCCTAACCTGACACACAGGCTCACCTTGACTCAGCTCTCATCCTGCATAGCCATATCATCCCACCATTCCTCCGCTGGCCCAGCCCCACAGAACACCTCTTCTTGCCCGGGCTCACCTCCATTCTCATGCTCTGCATGTTGGGCTAGGCTTCCCTGAGCTCCTAGCTCCGCTGCCCCAGCTCTGCTCTTGCTCCAAGTCCTGGCTCTCACCACTGTTAGCAAGGGTTCTACTGAGCACCTCCTGCCCCTGGAAAATGAACACGCTTCTCTGGGCTCTTCCTGCAACCTACATCATTTTATTTTATTATTTTATTTCATTTATTGTTCGCTTGTTTTGAGACAAGGCCTCGTAACCCAGGCCAGCTTCAAATTTCCTGTGTAACTGAGGCTTGCCTTGAACTCTTGACTCTCCTGTCTCTGCCTCTCAAGGACTGCAATTATGGGCATGTACCACCACAACTGACACATTTCATACACGAACATGGTTGCATTTATATGGCGTCTGTTCATACCTGTTAGAATCTTCCCTGCTTCTTCGTAAACCTCTACTTCTGATCTCCTATCCAACCTAAGCTTGCCTTGGGATTCCTTTTCAGCCCCAGAACTGTGCAGTTACCACAGTCCTCCAGGAGTGAGCCACCATCCTTAATTGTGAAGATGAGCTTTCCACGGGCAAAGCATTTGGCACCTGATCTGGGGAGTTTCCCTGGGCCCATCACTGCTTGTTAGCTGTTAGTTTACCACAAGTTACTTCCCAATCCTCACTTTCTGGCCCATAAAATGGAAGTGAATGTAAAGTGAAAGGAAGTGGGAGCAGATGGTCTTGTGGGTATTTCTGAAGCAGGAGTGTTTACAATATAAGTAAATTAAGTATAATTGAGCAAGTTAGGATTTGGTGACAAATTTGTGTTCTTAATTTTTGCTCACTTCTCTGTAGATAAAGAGGCTAAAGCTTGTTAAAGGTTAAAGGTTGCTTAGGCTTACAACCACCTTCAAAAGTCTATAATTGAGTTGTAATATTGCAGAAATTGGTCTTTATGCTTTACAGTCACTACTATTATTTTTAAAAGAAACTGCTTTCCATCTTTCAGCTAGGAGTGTCCAAAAATCCCTGCTTAGGGGGAAGGAGTCTGGTTATGATTAAAATATATTGTATGAAATTCAAGAATCAATAAAAATATTTAAAAATTTCTCCTACCCTTGGTTGTAGTGACAGATGAGCACCTTGCCACACCTGTTTTTGAGTACAAGTCAGTTGCTAAAGCTGGAATGTCCTGTAACTCTGTGTTGGTAATGAAACTGACTCCCTGACGATGACACAAAGTGTAGACATCCCAGCTCCATCCCCCCCATGCCTCCTTTGTGGTGTGTATCATTTCTGAACAAAAAGGACATTATTGACCCCATGTTTGTTTAACATGTTAATTAATCTTAACTCTAAATGGCTCCAGTCTTTTCCCCAAAGTCAAATCTACACCCAAGAAGGGAAACTAGCCACTTGAAGGACATTATAGTGAGTGTGATTCGGGTTCTGGGGGAAATTCCCAAGAAGGACTTCCAGCCTTCTAGGTGACTGTTTTGATGGTGACATAGCCAACTGGAGGAGTGAGTCCTGGAATGTTTATTAAGTGGCCAGTCACCAGGCTGGGGAGGCACACCTTGTGGTATAATGGGGTTCCATACCACAGCCTTTGATGTACAACTAAGAGGCAAAGTAACACCCCTTTTGGAATCTAATAGTTTGAATCACCTGTCCCCTTGAGGTTCCCAAATGTCCTGAAAGTTCAAGTCTAGATTCATAGCAACCAAGGAATTGCTGTTCAAGGAAGGCCTGCCAGATCAGGCATCATCTAGTGCCACCACTGGAGCCCTCAAATGAGAGGAGGAGGAAAGACAGATACTCATGTAAGCCCTGAGCCGGGGAGGCGGGGGGGGGAGCGGTCCTTCTGGTACCCAGAACAGTGGTCCTTTCCTAAACTGGGGCAGGGCAAGAATCAAAGGCCTCTCTGGCCTGGCAAGGGAAACACGCGTCTGGGGAGCCCCAGGATGGGTGTGAGTGCAGCCGAGTGATGTCTAAGGGCAGAATTAGGCAGATCTTAAGCCCTGTTGCCTGAGCTGCCAGAGACTCTTGTAGGGTCCGTTTTGTGCTACTTTGTGAAATCAGCATCCTTAGGAATCAGCCTGAGCCAAAGATCAGGACAAGAACCTCAGCTTTGGCTTGATAACCAAAGTGGTGGCTACCACCAGAAGGGGAGGGGTAGGCTAGGTGGGCAGGGGCCTCTGCTTCACCCTAGCCCCTCTCACAGTGCCTAAGAAGCCCCTCTTTTGGAACACTAGTACACCTGTCCCTGTCACAAGAAAGCTGGTCTGAAGGTCGCCTCTGTCTTCTCTGCTTTCCCTCCTTGCTTTTCTTGGGGTGTAGGGGGATGGGCATCAGGTGTCAGTGTCAGAGATGACAGCCACAAGCCCAGGAACATGAGTGCTGTGTGCCCTGGCTGAGCCCAGAGCCTCACCCGGTGTGGATCTGATCCAGGCTGGCTGAGAGAGAGCCTGTGATTCGGGGCTCTCTCTCTTAGAACTGCTGCTCAGCACTTAGGACACAAACCAGGCAGCAAGCTCAGAGTCTGGGTGGTGAGTGCCACTGAAGGGAAAACAGAGCCTGCCCTTCTGTGCTGTGAGATCCTGTGAGATGATGCCACCATCTCTCTTGTTTATAAGGTGACAGTGGTAATGGCAATAATTAAAAAGTAACTAGTACTGGAGACTAACTATCCCACATGCTAGACTAAATAACTCTAGGCCCAGGTGCTGTTGTTACTCTCACTAAACAAGTAATATCACTGAGGCTTAGAAGAGTTAAGGCACTTGGCCAAGGACACCTAGTCAGGATAGTTGGAGCAGGAGCTTGAACCCAAGTCTTCTGAGCACCACAGCCTTGCTCTTAATCATATGATGGGCTCTAATGTACTTTAAAGGGCCTCTGTGATCTCCAAATGAGATAATATTCCTGAAAGTGCATGGTCAACCCTTCCATGTTGCCCAGGTGTTAGGAATGGATTACTAATGATTCCCATGTAGAGTTTCAGCTCCCTAATTAGATGGTGAGGCAGGGCAGGGACACAGTACAACATGAGGCACTCAGCAAGTCTCCTTGGCAAGTCTTGAGCACTGGTTAGGCTGACGTGAACTGAGCTAGCTGGTTCCAAGCTGCTTTGTGGGACCCTGACTGAAAGGAGAAGCCCAGACCAGCCTGGGTGGAAGGAGGGGTGGGCGGAGTCAAACTCACCCAACGTTGAGGACCTTGGGTCTCTGTAACCCGGAGCCTTCGAGCCGGAAGACAACGTTGGTGAGGGTGATGGGCAGGGGGTTCCTGAACACAATCTGTACTTCACACTCCTGGCCGACCACTGCTGCTCCCAGTAACTGAGAGAAATAAGACGTCCACCCCATATCAGAGACCTCGGCCAAACATGGGCCCATAAGTGCACCGAGGGGGGAAACACCTTAGAATCGAAACCCCCCCAAGTCCCACATTTGCCTCTAAGAGAAGCCTCCTCAGAAATCAGAAGAAACTCACCCTCACTCCACACATTGAGGTTACCACAGAATTGGAGGTGAGAGTCCATTTTACAGATGAGGAAATTCAGCCCAGAGCCGGTCTTTAACCTTTTTCTACTAGAAGGCTCATCAAGCCAGCCTGCTCCCAGCTCAGTCAGTGCCCCCCCCCCTTTTCAGCCCCTGGTTATTGCTCCCTGTGCACCTCTTGTGTCCGGGAAAACTGCACTTACCGTGAGGGAGAGGTCAGGGGTGCGCAAACGGAAGGTGTGCTGCTTGGCCAGTACCTGCCCACTCTCCTTGACATGGCCCGAGACGTTGAGCAGCATTGCGCCTTGGTCCACGAGGTGGGGCCGATATTCCTTGTAAGCCACAGGCATGGTAACACGGTCCGCTGGGGGAGAAGAGGCATGTCAATCACAGGCCTGCTTTCCCACACCCAGAGGCGCTCCATGTACACATGGAGGAGTGCTTGGCCATCTAGGGGGCCGGGCTGGGTAAGGAGCACTTACAGGCCCCTGGTGCCAGTGCCACTTCCTTCTTGGTCTCCTTGAAGGTAGACCCAGTGACACCGGTGTAAAACGTGACAGAGAGGTAGAGGTGCAATTTCACAGTGCGGCGGCTACTGCCTCGATTGGTCAGCACCACAGAGACCGTCAGATCCTGTCCCATCACAGCGTCCTGGGCTTCCACCTGCATTGCTACGTCCTCAGCAGAATCCCGGGTGGCATACACATTAGGTTTGCTGCCATGGGCAGCTGCTGTCTCCACGGCCTTCCGCTCTGCTTCTGAGCCTGGGGGCGTTGAGGGTCAAGGGTGAGTTCCAGTTCTGGCTGGGGTGGGCATGGAACACTCAAGCTGGAGCTGGCTGGGCCCAGAGAAAGTTACCTTCTGGGTGCTTATAGATGTGGGTGATTTCCTCTCGCATGTTGGAGCTGACTGCTTTTGTGACAATGAGTGTGCCGATGGCTTTTTCCTCCACATACACAATCTTGAAGCTGCCGTCATCTTGTCGCTGCCAGTATACTTTATCACTGTTTACCTGTTGGAGAGCAAGAGATGACAGGGTCGAGTGAGCCAGCCTGACCCCCGCTGCCTTCCCTCAACCCTGGGAGCTGCAGGCAGAGCCCAGGAGACTCTTGGGCTCTTGGAGACTCTTGGGAGACTTCCCAAGCTGAGCCAGCCAGCCAGAGAGCTGGGAGGAAGCCAGTTTGGGAGGTTCCTTGCAGCGCATTTTGGCATTAATAACAGTAATCCCTTGTGCTCCTCGCTGGCTTTACGATTTATGAAGCAGTCCCATACCCATTATCTCTTTTGATCCTGAGTACAGGAAGCAAGGCAGCCATTATTATCCCCTTTTTACAGCTGAGGAAACTAAGACTCTTAGAATGTGTGTTCAAGGTCACACAGCTAGTCAGTCAGCGGTGAAGTCGGGACCAGAGGACCCAGGAGTGAAGTCAGGGCTCTGTCCATGCCAGACTGCCTGCTTGAGACAGCATCAGGAGCCCGGTCCTCACCTCAGCAAAAATGAAGGGTGTGTCATACTTCATGTAGACTAAGCCATTCTTGATGGACTCCACGGAGCAGGGACCACAGCAGAAGATACCTAGAGAGTGAAGCAGGACCGAGGTGGGGGATGCACGGAGGTGGAGCAGGACCTTTAGACCTTGGGTAGAGGTCACACAGAGCTCCAGCAGCACCCACCCAGGCTGCTCTGCCAAAGAACTGGGTAGGGGCTAGAGCAGCCTGTGGACAGTCTGCCTTGATAGCCAGGTCATCAGCTTACTCTCTGGACTGGCTAGATGTCCACTGTCTGTGACTCTCAGAGTACAGGGCCTCTTCCCCCAATCCTTCATCACAACCAATCCAGCAGGATCTACAGTGGTTCTGGTTGGCCGAGAGCAGTGATACCACTATCACCATTCCAGAAAAATCCAGAACACCTCAGCTCTGTAGCCCACTCTGTCCTCTATTGGGAAGTGGGGAGAAGGATGGTGGGAAAGAAATAACTCAGGAGGGCTTCCTAGAAAGATGAGCCTGCAGGAGAAGGCTGGGTGGGACAGAGAAGGTAAACAGGAAGTCAGGGTGATCCAAAAGGAAACAATCTTACCACCTAATGCTCTGGCCTTTTACAGATGGGGAAATAGACTCAGTCAGTGAAACAGATGCCAGGCTCTTATAAGACAGCTAGAAAGAGCTCATATTTACTGAGTGGCTGTGACATCGTAAGCATGCTACTAGTACTCTGATGCATGATGTCCACTTAATCCTTCCAACTGCACTAACACCAGTATTCTATACAAGAACACCAACACTTATTTGCCACCCATCACTCATCTAAGAGTGGACTTACGGTGGACTTAAGCCCTGGACTGGCTGTCTGGAGCCCCTGTCTGCTACTCATCCCACTACTTCTCAGATCTAGGCCAGAGATCAAGTCTCCCAGTACATTCATCGCAGGCATTTCTGGGTTGCACAACTCAAGGCACTGTTTAAGTAGATGATTGACAGGGAGAGGTCTGGGATGTAACTGGGGGACAAATGTAGGCTAAGCCAAAGCTGTCTGACTCTAGGAAGGTAGAGGCTAGAAGGAAGCAGCTGGAGGGATAGGCCAAGTTGCCTGTGGTAGAGTGTCAAGGCCAGAGGGGGAGGGGTGGATGGTTGTCTGAGAACAGAGCGAAACAGGTCTCACATTTGTGGGAAATGAGTATGTGGATTCAGATATGAGGCTGGTAGGTTGTATCACCCCAAGTTACATCTTAGGGCAGGGTTACACGAGCTATTTTCTTCAAACCTCTTTGAGCTTTGATTTCTCTGTACTATACGGGAACACAGTGAGCATTGGAATAAACAGAACAGGAACAAGGATTCGTTCTGCTGCTGACCTAGTGTTCGGTGCCCCAGGCAAAGTCACTCTACCTCTGTCCCATGGGGTGTGGAGTGGGTCCCAAATATGGATGACCTTTGCTGGGCATGCCTTTAATCCCAGCACTCAGGAGGCAGAGGCAAGTGGATGTCTGTGAGTTCAAGTCCAGCCTGGTCTACATAACAAGCTGGGGCTATAGGGAGACCCTGTCTCCAAAAGACCCCCCCCCAAATAACATGGATGATCTTAAGAATTACCAAGGAATTTTTGAAAATACAGATTGAGCCAGGTAATCCCAGCACTCGGGAGGCAGAGGCAGGCGGATCTCTGTGAGTTCGAGGCCAGCCTGGTCTACATAGTGAGTTCCAGGCCAGCTGGGGCTACACAGAGACCCTGTGTCAAAAAGACCAAAAAAAGAAAATACAGATTGAAGGACTGATGATGTAGCTCAGTGATGAAGGAGTTGCCCAGCGAGCCCAAGGCTCTGGGTTCAATTCCAGTGAAAAAGAAATATACCTGTCATTGGATGCTATCCTTGAAAACTCTGATATATTAGCTTTGATTGCAGGTTTTGGGGTGAGAACCCCCCAAAAGTATAAATTTACTTAAAAATCATTTTCTCGGAGAAGATAAGAAAATTTCAACTTTATGCTATTTCATTCTATACTGTTTTTTACTTCTATGAACACATTCATTTCTTTTTTTTTTTTTTTTTTTTTTTCTCATAAAGGTTCCCCCTGTACCCCCAGTTTTCCTGG